TGTCTACGGCCAGGCTGTTGTCACAGAGCCTGTACTGTATCAGGACCTGTTTCTCCTCGTCTGTCAGGCTGGTCAGATACTGGGCCAGTGGGTTGTCTTGGCGTTGCAGTCAGTGTTGTCTTGGCGTTGCAGTCAGTGTTGTCTTGGCGTGTGTGTGTGTGTGTCCCAGCTGCAGCCCCTCTCACACTCCCCCTCACTCTTCTGTTCTGCCATCGCTGCTGCAGGGCTGGGCAAGTGCACGACTACAGCGCTCCTCTTAATCTGCTGTTTTTATTCATCCGATTCTTCCTCCACCTCTTTTCTTTTCCTTGTCATTTTTCAACTGCGGCTTCCATTGACGCCCCCGCAGCGAACTGAGCAGAAGTCACCCAGTCAAAAAAAAAAGTCACAATGCACGAAGGAACAGACATTATGAGTCTGTAGTGCAGCGTATTTTCAAAGCATCAATAAACAGCTATAGTATTTCCATTCAGAGCCATTTTTCAAAGGAACAAACAAAGAACTCTACACGTATTGTATCAGTGTTAAAAAAAAAGGATTTACATGTTTATGAACTGCAGTTCATTAAAAGTGCACAGAGCACTGCAATCTCATACTGGAACAAAACCGTAATTGCATTGAAGAGTCTTGACAGGAGAAAAATACCGAACAAACTGTAAAACAACAGGAATCCAAAAGACAATAACCAAAATAACCTCTTACAGTTCTTTCAACAAGCAAGAACCAGAAACCATCACCTGGTATATTCAGATTATTAAAGTCATGTCTTTGGCATGAGAACTAATTAAGGTTAAAGGCCAAAAAAGCTAAAAATGCTCAAGCTGGGTGACATCATTAAGTCCCGATACAGATCCCTGTGTCTTATTGTCACTTATTTAGATCATTGATACCTTCCTAATGTCCATCAACGATACAGATTCTGGTAGACTTGGGAAACTACTCACAAAGGCAGATAATATGAAGACCTGCAAACACCCTTGAAGCTTGTAAAAATAAAAGACCCCAAGTTCAAGACTAGACAAACACCTGGCAGAAGATGTTCAATGTATGATACACAGGCATCAAAAATATCAACAGATATAAAATAGTAAACAACAACACAGGCTAATAATGAGAAAGACTGACTTTAATGTTGACATACCGTTTACGTCTTCTAGACACTGTGGGGAAGCATTAAATAAGACAAATGCTGGAGTCTAGTTTAAAGTGCAAAAATGAAACCAGGGAATATTCAAAATGTATTAGATAATTCAGAATACTGTGTGCGACTGTGGTCGCTGCGTCACAAAAAGATATTCTCTTCTTCAACAGAAGAGCAGCCAGATGCATTCCTGGGCTTAAGGGAATGTCTTACACTGACAGTACAAAAGAGCTGAGCATTTCTAGTCTTGATCAGAGATGACTAAGCGGGCATTTGATCCAAGGACTCAAAATCCTCAAAGGCATTGGGGATATCAACCCAGTGGAATTATACAGAATTAACACTGAAACCCGAACCAAAGGACGCAAGCTGATGCTACAGGGAAGTGTACTTCAAACAGAGCATGAAAAGCACTTCTTTACACAAAGGGTGGTGGGAGCGTGGAACAGGCTCCCTAGCCACGCTTCCAACTCAAACTTTCTCCCTCGGGAGATTTCGGCAGCGCCCTGCCCCAGAAAGAGAGGACCGTGCAAGGCCCCCCATGGCAACGGCCGGTCATAACCCGAGCCCATACAGCGGAGCGCGGCAACTCTTCCAAAACATTCACACCTCCTACGCCAGCCCCCCTGGTCCAGACCCAGAAGTCTGAGCACTGTGGAAACGCAGGCTGATGACCGAGCTGCCAGAAGCACAACGTCACACAAGGCTTTCACAAGTCTCCCCGCACGCAGGGAGATCACAACCCGAGCCGTTACTTCAAATCCTGCAGCGCTGGTGAAGAGGCCGGACATCGGGACTGGACAGGGGTGCAGCCAGTCTCTGGAGAGCACATTCCGCAGGGAGCACAGCACAACCCCTGCACCGATCCCACAGCTCTTTAGGAATTCCTCCTGACCCCACTGTAATCTGGACAGGAGTGTACTGGTGGTCACTACTAAAAGCTGGGAGGCTTCTCTCTCTCTCCAGAGTCCCACACATCTGCTCCTCCTGAGGCATGCTGTAACTCACAATTTGCAACA